AGCGGTAAAATCGCTTCTGTTTGATAGGGGATAAAAACCACCAATTGTACGACATGAACTAAATTCTTGGAAAAGGAGTATCCTACGATAATTCGAGTGGTATGGCTATTTCTTCTCAAAAGAAAACAATCTGTTGCTGTTGCGTATCTTCTAGACATCAAGAATATGATTAATAAAGAGAGATCACGAGTATACGAGAAAAATATCCTAGTGCTATCACTATCGGTGATATTAGTTCAGGTATGAACTGGAAACGTAAAGGTCTCCAGTCCCTTATACAACAGGTTATCGGAGAAGATATCAGAACCGCTGGCATCCACTACAGGGATAGACTATGTCGATTTGTTTACGAACTCATAGAGTTCTTCTTCAAGCATTTTTGGTTCAGAAATCTTGGTTTTGGAACAAGATCAATATGAACCAAACATCGATAACGAGCTCGCAGATAATATACTCTCCATTACACAAGTATTCTCATGTAAAAAATGGGACGTCGACGACACAGAACCTCTAAAAGATATAGCAAAATCGAAGAATAAGAGCCAGGAGGAAGAAACAACAACAACTCAAGTAATGAAGCGAACCAGGAAGTACAGAATCAAAACTCACGCGAAAGCAACGAGAGTTAGCTAGATCCTAAATGGATACGTGTAGGTGGACGGTTAATCAAGGAATTGAAATGTTTAACAGAACCAGTTCGTTTAGTGCTAAGTATGCAAGAGATGAAACGTGGTGAAAACTCTTAAGGCTGAAACACTGGTGCCGTTTTGGATGTTTGATAATCGACCAAGTTGGATTTTTGACACACCAAAGTATACCAATACAATAACTTACGTAAACTTGACAGTAATATCAAAAGTGCATTTTCTAACAGAAAGAATAACCATATCAAGCGTTTTTCAGTTCCGTTATCGTAGCAAGAAACATAATGATGTACATCAGTTGCAAGGTGATGAAAACAATTGCTCCATAAATACACGAGGTAATAAGGTAGGTTTGACTGCAATTGGGTTCGGAGATATAGAAGTGATAGTTCCCAAGTGTGACCGTAGAAAAAAAACAAAATTCAACGAAGGTAGGAGGAGTTGCTATTCAATACGAAAACAATTCATGTTGTGTAGACCTGATGTAAAGTGTGACCGCCAAACCTATCAATGGTTTAAAGCGTATCTGTGCTCTCGATCAAGGTCAGCGATTGCTCTTGACTTTTTGATCTTCAAGGTAACAATTTCCAGTGCGGCCAAGGTGTTTCAACGAAATCTTACGAAGCTAAAACTAAAACGCAATATCGCTCAAAGTAAATATACACGTTTACAAAACAAATTCATCGCTCGCATAATCCCTACAGGGCTTAACTTAGAAAAAAAGCATTTTATTTATACACAAATAAAATAAAACTCTGTTTACCAGACTCAAAAGATGGTAAAGCATGGTCAGAACAAATTCAATGATACGTTAGTAAGATTAAACCATGTTAAGGTCTTACGTAAACGAGTAATGATTTGTACCACGGAATACACAAGCATTACATGAGGTCACTGTAACACACACAGAATGGGTCTTGAGAACCAAAAGATCGATAGATGTTCTGGATGTGGCTATACCGCCGATTGTGATGAGAATGCAGCATACAATATCTTATGATATGTAAGCAATGTTGCATTACAAATTAAATCGATCTCTTATCCATAAAACAATTTTAGTATGATGTA